GTTTTTATTTCTTATAGTTTTAGTCCATAAAGCCTTCCATTTCAGAGAACTAAGCCCTGCCAGATGAAAAAAGAAATAAAGGTAAGCAAGTCACTTTTGTGAGTTTGAATTTTATCCCAAGACACTCAGCAAAGGAAAAAAAAATTAATTTAATTTTTATTTTAATCTGAAAATATACAGTTTGGATCCACTAGATTCAGATGCCATCTTAACAAGATATGCAAAACTTATTTTACTTAATTACTTAATTCAAATATTGCTGTTGTGCAGTTATGATTTTYGTGTTGGGAAGCTATCTAGAAGGAGAAAAATAATTTTCAAGAATGATCATCTGAGAGGAAGAAAAAAAAATCTAAATCTTGTTTGTAAGTCTTAAAAGGAAAAAGTCAAGAGCTTGTCACTTGCAAGTAGGGGAAAATTTTGAAGACTCTCAAGGYAGAAGTGTTAACAGGCATTTCTGACCCATTTGATTTCCTGTCTTTTACTCTCCAGGGRGCACATCCTTGGTCAAGGTCACCTTTCTCTTAGTTAAGGAGTATCTAATGATGTTTACATGCCATGTTCAAATAGTTTCCCTTCAAAAAGGGTTCAAAATGCAGACTCTTCCTTTGCATCTCTGCATTCAACCGGATGTTATGTTTTTGCAACAAGGGAAAAAAGGAAGGAGAAGTACCAAGTCCTTCTGCCCACGCCTCCCCCCCGCTCCCCCCAATATAGTGCAGAAAAAAAAATCTGCCTTTATAAATACAATACTGGTGCTGACTGGYTGGAGGCTGCTTAGCCTAATGAGCTTAAAATCTTATTTGCAGAGGACATCTGTCAAGGCAGAAGTGAGGTACGCAAGTGCTCTTAATCCATTAGCTCTAAATCCAGCCGAGCTCTCACACTCCTTTTTTTGAATCGAAGAAGAAAACCCAAGTGGGAACGTAAAATGGAACAGGGCACAACTTCAAGAGCGGATCCTATGCAATAAGCACATGAGATTTCAAGGCAAGCAACAGCAAAAACTGCGAACAAAACTGGGATCATGATGGAAAACTCCTGAGAAACGCCAGTCTGCAGCTCAGAATGACACAGTGAGTTTGATTTTTACTTGTGTTTTCCCTAGTTCTTTTGGATTTTAAATCACAAATAAAGACGAAGACAGGATGGGCTGCACACCTTCTCACAGTGAGATCAGTAGTACTGCTGCAAGAAGTGGTCTTAAGGCTTTGAATAAACCCCAAAGTGTCCTGCCAATTGATTCAAGAGATAAAGGAATCCCTCTGCTGGTTAAAGGTTCATCTTGCTACAATATCGATGAATATGGGATCCAGAGGAAGGACTACCTGGAAGAAGAGGAGGATAGACTGTCAGAGCAGGATGAAAATGATAATTTGCAGTTATCTTCCAAGGCTCATTCAGATTCCCAGACTCRCAGGGAAGACAAGAAAATTGAGAGAACAGCCACAGATGCTGAAGTCATTTTGTCTGAGCTGATTGAATCTCAAAAGCACATCACTGAGTCCATAGAGATCAGAAAGCAAACCTCCTGTGAATCAGAAGCATCAGCTTTCATCTGGGATGACAAGAATGAAAGCAACGGAAAGCAAATCCCAAAGAAAGGAAAGAAGAAAAAAAGCCATAAGCTGGCAAAGCAAGGTCAACCTAACAAAAGTAAAGAAAAGTCCATTTTGGCCCAGTGTGAGCCAGAGGAGAAGGTTGACTTCCCAGAGCTGCTCGTCAAGGCTCACTACAGTGCATACGCCTACCTAAATCCCAACCTTTCCAAGTATGAAACTATTCTGCACATGGCCAACCAGGCCACTCAAACTCAGCTCTTCCTGCAGCAGATGATCAGYTTTCTTGTGTTTCGCTTCGACGAAATCAACCAGCTCTTGGAAGAAATCACCAACGATGGGGAAAATCTTCTCAGAGATGTAGGTGAGAATCTGGCATGGCCGGCAGAAAAAGACGGTTTGAAGGAGCACCCTGATCTTCTGCAACAGCTTCTGCAGTACACGGTCAACAAAATGCAGTTGGTGAGTGGCATGCTGGCCTCCCTCACCTCCAATGCCCTGCAGGAGACATGCAGCTACCTGCAGTCCGCTGCGAGCAACTTGGAAGGCAAACTGAAAGCAAAGCAAAGCTTTGATGAGCACCTGCTACGGACAATAAAGCTGCTTGAAGCCTCRACTGTGGGACCCCCTCAGTCCCAGGGTGATGACAGGACTCTCTGTTCTGAGGACAGTGGCATTGGTGTGGACAACGAATCCCTCAAAGAGTTCAATGCTCTCAGCCAGCATGGAGGACAGCCAAGTGATTCCAGTGCACATGGACATCCATCCCGAAAGCAGGCCAGAGCAGCGGAGCGTGTGAGTGGTGGGACAGCGTCAGCAGGCACAACTGCATCCCATGGCTGTACACTCGAAAGGCGTTTTAAAAACATCTTTCATTCATCYGTGCAAAGCAGGGAAGCGCTGTCATGTCAGGGTGGAATACCCAAAGGCACTTCCACCATGCCCCAATATTCGAGCTTGAGCAAAAGCCATTCCTACAACCCCTTGCAGTCTGATTCTGCTCAGGAAGGTGAACGTTTCAAAATCTGTGAATCAACAGATTTTCTTTCTGAGGATGAGGATGATGATGATGATGATGATGAAGGGAGCACCCTGGGGGAGGATGACGACAACACAAGTTTATCAGAAATGGGGAAGGATGCTCTGCCAAAAAGGTCCCTGTCTTCACCTGCACTCACTGATAACATGCAAAGGCAGTCCATCAAGAGGACAGAGAATGCAGATACAGAAGAAATCATTTTGAAGATGAAAGATGCCATCAGTGAGAAAATCAAGTTTGTCCCAGCTAAATCCAGGCGCAGAGAATGGATAGAGGATGAGAGCGGAAGAGCACTCCTGGCAAAAAGGCCCAGTACGGCAACAGGCAGACAGAGAACATTTGGGAAACAACGACGGTCCAGGTCAGAGGAGTCCCTCAGAAGCCAGGCAGAGGACCCGACTCTCCTAGAGCTTCAGAGAACTCAAAAGGAGCTCAGCAAAAGGCTGGAGTTGTTGTATGGAAAGGATACAGCTAACAACCCAGAGCTCTGGAAATCAAGAGCAGCACCTTATTTGCAGGATGTGCAAATTACATCTARATCCTCTCGGAAACTGAAGGCAGGCCTCTCAAAAAATTTCAACATCCTGCCTAATCAGGATAAAGCCCCTTTGTTCACGTCTGATCAAAATCCTGTCCATCAGCTGAATGAAAAGAGAGGCAGGAAGCCTGTAAGAGCTACTGTGCCTACCCAGGTGACATCAGGAGGCAAAGAAAATGAGCCTCCTGCACCACAAACGCTCAGTRGCAGCAGCTGTACCCCCCGGCAGTCTGTCAAAAAACTTATTGAAACCTTCAGTCCTTCTGATGATCTTGCAAAAGCCGCACCTTTAAGATCCTTAGGACCAATAAAGTGCATCAGAAAATTTGGACTTCCAGTCTCCCCACCAACCATTCCCTTTCAGAGAGGCCTGGCACCTTTAAATCTTAAGAATCGTATTTCACCAGCAGAAGACACAAACAGCAATGATGTTTCTTCTAGCTTTCCAAATACCTTTCTTCCTCCACCACCTGCAGAAATAAGCAAGAAGGACACAAAGGAAGAGACTGATGAAGACAATGAGAACCTGCCACCACCACCACCTGAAATGTTAATGGACACTTCTTCTGAAAATTTATCCGAGCCTGAAGAAACTGCAAGAATAGAAGGAAAGTCTTCAGAAGATGACAAAAAGCCCACCAAACCAGAATTGCATGCTGCTAAGAGATCACAAGTTTCCCCAAAAATGAAAGCCTCCCTTCAGTCCATTGACTTATTGCCAAGTAAAAATACCAGCGGCCCCAGTGCGGTGACTAATAAAGGTCTGAGGAGTAGCGGGTCAAGGGATGAGAAACTGAAGAGGTACTCGCTTCAGCTGAGCCCTACCAATGTGCACATCCCTAGCCAGGAGAAGATATTAGCAACCCAGAGAAAAGAGGCTGCAGATTTATACAAGCAAACCCATAAAATTATTCCTCTTCGCAATCTCAGTGGGGTTTCAAGCCCWCACAGCACCAGCCCAGAGAGCAAGGGGCCCAACTCACCTGTGACTTCGACACCGTGCCAGAAGCATGGCTCTCCTGATTCACCCCAGAGCAGTGAGAAAGGCTCACTGTTTGCCAGGAGGGTCTCCCCAACAAGAACTGCTCCCTCTTCTCCAACTGAGAAACGGCTTTTCAGCCCTCCAGCACATCACAGACACTCTCTGCAGGCTTTCAGCAACACACAGGTGAGCTCACCCACCATGCAGAGGAAACCCAGTCCCCCCTCTAGCCCCAGAGTGCCCAGCCCACCCTCGCACAAGAAGCTGCCCTCTCCACCACCACTGCGAAAACCATTCAGCCCTCCTGCGGGGCGCAAACAAAGCTCACCAGTGGGCTCCCCTGCTYCATTCCCCACCACTCCCTCTCCACCAGCCTCCCCATCTTGCTCCTACAAGGGACCAAGAGCTGGCCTGGATGCTGGGGGCGAGCACCAGCTCTCCTCCTCCAAGAGAGGCAGCAATGTCCATTCCATATTTTGCCCAGCCACCTCTTCCTTATTCGAGGCCAGACCTCCACTGGTACCCACCCACCCAGCTGCTGAGGTGACCAGCCAGCCTGAAGCTTCTTCACACTCCCAAAAGAGCAGTTTGCTATTCCAGCAGCCCGGAGACAGGAGCAGAAAGCTGTCCCTGAGCACCCCCAGTCCTCAGCCGTTTGTAAGGAGAAGTTTCTCTGACCGCCGACCAGGGGTCCAGCTTCATCTTCCAGCTCCTCTAACAGCTGCCAGTGAACCCACACTAAACCAAGCAAGGTAAGAAACTTCATGCCAGAAAAGCAGACYTATAGCACTGTGTTGGCTTTCTAAACTTCTGATGGGAATTTAGTGTTGTTAAGAGGTTTCCCAGAAAGGTGCCCTGTTTGTGTGCAGAAGAGATGGCTGGGCAAAGATAGCACTGTAGCTRGACTGGGTGATCATTGTCGGTCCCTTCCAACTGAAAGAATCTGCTCTATTTTCTTGCCTTAGATTTCAGTAGATTACCAGTCTGAATGAAGGGAAGAGTTAATTTTCCATGGCTTGTTCAAGCCTTACACTTTCACATAAGCTGTGACAGGCACCCTGGGGAAAATTCGGTGTTGGTTCCATGACACAGAACTCCCCTTATCTCTGTGGGGGCTGAGGGCATCCACATTCAATTCTTAAAAGCTCTGAAACAGCCCTCAGGTTATAAAGATAAATTTTCATTGAGGATTGGCTTGATCCAAGAAGAGGGGTGTTGTTCTATCACCAGCCTCTAATCCAGTAAACTGTTCAGCTGCAAGCTGTGGGAGAATGTTTCAAATCAGCTGGCAAGAATGAGAGGCAGAAAATAGTGTGTAGGCAAGAATCCGTGTGGACATAATTACAGGTTGGAGTTTTGAGCTTCTTGTGCATGCTTTCGGATCTAGGGGATGATTTCAAGTCTGATGGGTCCACAGCCCAAGCCCARTTTTCATAGTGGAAAAGCATCCCATGGCTACTGAAGATTCATTGCTCTGAAAAAGAAATTGAAACATCAACACATGCCAATTCAATTTTTGCAAAAATTGGTGGCCTCTTATTAAAAAAATGGGCTTAGCTTTCAATTTTGTCTACGATCTAAACAAAAAAATTTAAAAAGAATCATGAAACCAGCCAGGAAATAGAAGTGGGTATTTGGGAATACTCAAAGATGTGTAACAGCCTGGAAGCACAGTGTTGTTATTCTAGTTTCTTAACATCTTAGGATGTGTAAGTCAATTAAGCTTAAGCTTCTCCGGTAACCTTTCCACACATGAGCAGTATTTTTGCTCTTGCCCCAGAAGAGCTGCAGTCAAATGACTCATTCCCCTGAGGAGGGGTAGGGATTGCAAGATCAACCCCAACAGGATAAAACTGCACTTGTAGGTGCACTGTGAGCACAGGGGCAGTGATGGGCACTGAAGACAGATGTCCAGGCATTCCCTCCCCAAAGACAGAATAAGGACCAAGTGTCCCATGCTGGCAGTAGAGGAATGTGCAGAACAAAACATGTAAAAAACACTGGCAAATGCAAGCCATTTTGCATTCCCAGTTTTATATTGCATTGYAGCCCGACATTTCAATATTTTAAAAAACTCCTGTACAGTGTTGCTCGGGTTTTTGTCGTTTTTATGTACTGTGTGAAGTCAGTTTTGGCTCMTTCAGTGCCTGCCAGCAGAAATAAATGTTTTCAAAAGAGGTTTTATGTAAAATTGTGCAAGACAAAAGCACTGGCAGTTTTATGGATGCATTTTAAAATCAGTCTATTATAAATTGCTAGCTAATTTATACCTCAGTGGGGTGTATTATCTTTCTATCATAGTCTGTCAGAGTATAGTGAATAATATTAAAAAATATCACTGTAAATAAAATCATCCCTTTCATGAAAAAAAGTCATATATCCTTGTGTTATGATGTACAAGTATTTTAGAAGAACGAAATATATCCTAATATTCAGCTTATCATTTATCCCAATGAACATCAACAATAGTACTAGTCACTTAGSCCAAGTTTATATCAACATAAGCAAAAGGGAAATTTGGACCATTAATAAACACACACTGATTTAAGATACAGTACTCAACTGTGTGTTTTCTTACACCTAAAATAAAGTATATTTTATGAACCTTGCATTGAGTGGCCTAAAATGAATATCACAGCCAATGTGCYGATGGGCAGAGAAGGATCATTTTAGGAATGAGAACACAGCAAAAGCTCTGAGAGCTCCTCACATCCCTGCTGGCTCTCTCTTCCTGCTGAGGACTTGGTTGCCACAGCTGTGAGCGCCACATCACCCTGGGCAGAGGCTGAGCCCTGCTCTTTCAGCAGGTGCTTTAATAGRCAAACGTCCACACTGATCTATCTTTCTCCTCCCAGATCATTAAGTAGCCAGGACTCTCTTTGCTCCATAATTCATCCAACTGACAGAGGAAAATCTCAAAATGTCTAAATGTAAACCTAAACCTCCTTGTTCTAGCCATGTTTGCATTTGGTCTCAAATTCACAAGCCATTACTACACTGTTGGTCTCCTTTCCTTCATTCCTTCCCTTAATTTACCTCTTCTTTCCACATACAACAATGCCTTTTTTTGGTCCGTGTGGTGTTTTTTTTGTGTTATTTTTCTGTGTTATTAGCAGCTTATTAGTAGAAGGTAGCAGACACAGAGTCAAACCTGAGATACCATCAATCTTTYATAGGTAAAACATTCTGAAGGCCAGTGAGTTATCCAGTTTCTCCCATGCTCACAAAATCAGAGATATAAGAGATAAATCCCCCTACTTTTACCATACSAAATTAAGACAACCATTTGCTGAGAAGTAGGTTGCCAAAAATAATCTGGCAGGAACTTGTACAAGCAAAAAGAGGCAGCTGAGTTGCCTCTCCCACATACCCCCTTTTAGCAGGAACACACACAAAAAAGAGGCAACTTCCATCTTATTTTGCCAGATGGCACTGATGGGCATTAAATGTCAGTGTTGTGYGCAGATTCGTGTGTCTCCTACACCCTCATTGCTCTCCTAGAAGGCAAAACCCACTCTTTTCCCAAGCCTGTCTTCTATCCACCCCATGATGTAAAGAATATMATGGCTTAAAACATTATTAGCCCTAACTAGGGGTGGAGCTGGAGGTTTTGGATTTAGTCTTAGGGTACCTGACAAGAACTTGTTTCAGGTTTCAGTTCTCAAGTCAGTTCTCAAGTCAGCTCTGTTGTTCCTAACTGAGCAGCTTGTGAGTAGAGCTAGACTGAGATAACTTTGGTAGTTTCTAAGCTTGGTCATTTGACAGCAACCAGCAATTATTGACATCTCAGTAAGGCACAACATGTACAATTGCTCTGCTCACAGAAATTCTGTTCATCTGTAACACAGTTTCTGCATATGCACCTTAACAAAATAGTATTTAATTTGGATTGCTTCTCTCCCAAGAGGTACAGCAGAGAGAGAAGATTAAATGCTTTTGTCTTTAAGATATTGTTCAATGAGGGCTTGAGAATAGATTGGGGTGATTGAATCAGGCTCAAAGCAAGTAGTCCAAATGGGCCCTTCTGCTGCTGGGGGATATTTGAATCTGGATTAGTTTCATGACTGGACATGTATCGCAAAGTCCTTCATTAAGCAGTTCAAATCATTAAAGTCCTAGCAGTTAGAGTAGGAACATAACAGCTTGTCTGTAGTGGAAAGCTCATTCAGTTCAGCAGTTCAYGTACTTAAAATACAGTAATGATTCYCAGATAGCTSTGAARTATTTCCCCCTGTTGAGCTTAAACCAYTTGAATTTGCTGCAGCAACACAGGGCACACTTCAGCAGGAAGGCACAGGGCATGAGGTGCTCATGACAGGATCCACTGCTGTGATCAGTCTTGATAAATAAAGGCCCTGTACCCCTAGCGAGTGCCAGAGCAACCTCAGGAACATCATTTACACTTTCTGTGTCTCAGTGCTCCTRTCTCCAGAGTGAGAGTAGCAGATTTACAATACCAGAATTCCCCTCCCACAGTCATGCTGGCGTGCTCGGAAATCACTGTAACCAGGCTGTGCAGAGGCACATCAGATGTAAGACCTTTCCTTTCCTTCAGCCCGCTGAAACAAGACTTGTTCACTCAAATCTGCCCTTATCTGGAAGGGAACCCAGTATCACAGTGATCCCCTCTTAAACATACAAAATGTTTTCTTCCCAAGAGAGGTTTGGGAGGGAGCAGTACAGTGCATTTGGCACTGTRCATTTTCACAGGAGTGAAAAATGGATGGTGCATCTAAAGAGCATGTATACAGCAGGAGGTGGGGAATGGCAGGGTATCGTGCAGCATTTGTGCTTTGTGGGTTAACACGGTCTAATCAGTGCTGTTTTAAAAAGTCACGATTCATTAGCCTCTTAACTTAAGCATCTTTCCTTCTGCAGCTTGGAGAGGAGCCCTAGAAAAGCAAGTGACTCTTGGAACAGCTCTGGTGCTCCTGAAATCAAAGAGTCCAACAGATCYGCTTCCCACCCCGAGCTCTACATTGTGGGCCAGGGGCTGCAGAGGGACTGACAGCAGAAACACCCCCAGAGGCATGAGGGGCGAGGCCAGAGGACCCAGCCTCAAAGCAGACACAAAACAGCTTTGCCCAAGCCTCCAAAACGTGGCTTCGTCTTCTCTTGCAAGGAAAATATATGATGGCATTACATCMAAAACCCCAAACTGGGGCTCGACAATCTAATGAAGTACCAGCRAGATGCTTCTCCTTTCATTCCGTGGTTTTACTCAAAGATCTACATGGAGTAAAAGAAACACTTTGTAGCTGGGTGAGTCTCAGGCAAATTTAATTAATGAGGAAAGGTCCTGTAGCCAAGTCCTTTTTTCCACTGTTTAGATAACAGAGTTTAAAAACTAACAAAATTATAATTATTCAGCATGTTATTTATTCAGTTGGCATCACAGTCTGAGTGAAAAGGGGCTGTTGTGACTTTTCCAGGAGGGAGGTAAAACCCTGATCCAATTGACTGTTACTGCAATTAAACATCTGTGGTTTCAGAAAAGCCACATCTTTACTCTAGGTGCTTATCAGCATGCAAGGAGAGAATAACATTAAACACAAGTTAAAACCAAGTAACCCCTTTTGAAGGAAAAAAAAATGGGATATTACTCCCTCAAAAAAGGCTTTGATCTTCTAAATCACCTTTGATTACCAGATAATCTTATCACCTCTAGTTTCCAGGGTACAMGGCTTAATCCTGATTAGAGTAGTTTTGCAATAGCCCAATCAAACAACATGATAAATCACAAGGCACCTAAGGACACMCTTGGGGTTTTGTTTGGGKTTTTTTCTCTTGTTTTCTTTTATTAAAGAAAAAAATGCCACCACACAGAATCCTGTTCTCCCTGAAAAAGTTTTAATTTTTTTTCTGATTTATGCAGTTTGAGGGTATTTATTGTAGTTTCAGTGGAGAGTCTAGACATATTCTTGTTAATAAAAACACGAGTTATTTACAGTCAATTAATCCTAAGCTTTTACAGCATTCRCTGGAATATAGTTTCAAAAATTACTGGCTCTTTCTTATTGAGCTAATACATCATCATGATTAAGATGCAGCTACTAATTAATGTAGCTTTAGTTTCATTTGACATGTCTTCATCTATAACTTTAGTACCGAATAAGAGCCATTAAAAAAAAAAGCCATTTGTATCATACATGGCTAGGAAYAGTTTAATTTTTTCCTACAGGTTTCATCAAGGTGGTGTATTGGAACTTGGCCTTCTCAGAATAATTTTAAACCTTTCCTGCCCACCCTCATGATGGGGTAACAGAGCTTCATCTTCTCCAGTATGAGGGTTACTCTCTGGATACTGAACTCCTGAGCTTTAGTCCCATGCCTTAACCACAACCATCTTTCACTAAGCACAGTGCCATTTTGCACCACAGACACGAGGAAACCTTAATTGTCATATTTAAGGTGGGAGGTTGAATACAGAGAAGCATCTCACAGTGAGCAGATACTTTGGATGGTCAGGGATTTGTGAGCTTAAGGAGGCCAAGCAGCCATACCCATAGAGATGCCAACCAATCCACCCTGTAATCATACAGGCAGATGCACCATCCCCTATCAGGTTGGAAAATCACCAGTGAGATACTGCAAAGCTCGCCAGCAGTGTCAACTCTGCAAGTTAAGTCTTCCCCTTCATCAGAAGTGCAGTTCTCTCTCTCCTGCATAAGAATACAAATGCATTTTTGAATGCATTTTGGGTTGGTTTGTTCTGCTGGCAGTAACCTCCCAGAACAGAAACAAACCAGAAACACGACAGCAGGAAACTGGCACTTTGTGGCCTCAGTGCAGCTTTGCAGAGGGAAACAGCAGAGTGACAGGACAGCAGAATTCTCCTCAGCTATTACAATCAGTTCAYCTCTTTATGATTTCATGCTGAAATTTCCCAGCACCTATGATGTGGAATAAGAGGAAGCATTTATTTACATCCCTCAAGSAGCAGATTCTGCTACAGCAGCACATCGGGCAACACTTCACTTCAGCAGTGAAGTTGGAAACCTTCTCCCACGTGTGCTTTCTGGACATGGAGTCAGCCAAAGCTGATCTTTCCCCMAAAACCAGGCTCCCTCGAAGATGCATACATGAGCTGGCATCCCAGAACTTCACCTCTCTTGGCTCTGACTGAGGCTGTGGTCATCAGGAGGCTCCTTGCAAACACAACCCCAGCTAACAACTGTAGCTGCTGAAGGATTTTGATGCTGCCCAAAGGATGCTACAGCAAACTGCTCGTTGTACGCAAGACACAGCTTCTCAGGGAGTCATCTGCAAGTTTGTAACATGAACTCATGATTGCTTGTAGTTAAGAGATTTTCTTTAGTTCAGTTAATGTACAGTATTCTAGCAAAAAAATGTGTTTACCTTCAATTTGTATTTTAAGCTGAAACTGAGAGTAACTCTAGTATGCAGGAAATGATAGTTTGCCTCACCACTTTTTTTTTTWWAAAAATTATTTTTTAACAGGTTTTTTGGTCAACAGTTCAATTTTTCACAAATGCAACATTTCTGGAACATGGTTGTTTTATAAGATCAGGCTCAATTTTAACATTTATTTTTTTACTGATGTAAATAAAACAGAGATTTTATACACAAGATATGAGTTTGATCTCCCATATTCTGTATGCAACCAGTTTCAATCTTAGCTTAATGATGCCTTCCTCAATCTCTAACCAGTGCCCTGAACTATAAAAGGTCCTTTTGCTTCTTCTTTCCCAACCCCAACACAAGCTTTTTTGTCTTTTGCGGGTACATCACTTAACTTAGATTGCATTTCCATTCAGCAAATACATCCTTTTTCAGGCTACAAGATCCAGCCTGGGCACTGACAGACCAGAGAATGGACCAGCTCTGCTTCGACCCTTCCCCTGCCCTGATTTAAGCTACCTGGCAGTCTTGTACTTCGTTCAGTAGAGTTTCTGTGTCAAATCACAGCTAACTCAGGGGGCAGTGGCTTGGTCCTAAGGGTTAAAATCAGAGTGCACTCGCTGCCTGTGCAGTCACATTGCAGAGAGATTGAGCACAGAGGCAAGCAAGATCAGGTTTCCAGCCAGAACTTCACAGCCGTGAAAGAGCAGCCAACAGCTCTGYGCTGCTCTTTATCTGCAGACCTTTAACGAGCTGGCAGCTGTCCTTGTTTCCAGTGACACTGCTCAAATCTCAGACCTTTAAGGGGCTTGTCATTTAATTCCCTTTGGCATCCAAAGACGACTAGAACACTAAGGCATTACACATGCTCCAGTTTATTTGATTTCAAAAACCAACTCAGCCTGGAGGAAACTGAGGGGAGACCACACTGCAGTCTACAACTTGCTCGTGAGGGGAAGCAGAAGGGCAGACATTGATCTCTTCTCTGTATGACAGTGACAGGATCTGAGGGAACAACATGAAGTTGTGTTAGGGAGGTTTAGGTTGGGTATTAGGAAAAGGTTCTTCCCCCAGAGGGTGGTTGGGCACTGGAACAGGCTCCCCAGGGAGTGGTCACAGCACCAAACCTGACAGAGTTCAGGAAGTGTTTGGACAACACTCTCAGGGACGTGGTGTGACCTTTGGGATGTTCTGAGCCAGGCTGGGAGCTGGACTTGATGATCCTTGTGAGTCCGTGTCAATTCAAAATATTCCATGATTCTGTGATTAGCAATATGGCTGAGAATGCTATGCAGGTTATCAATAAATTCAGCATATTACAGTTAGTACTGCCACCCTCTTAACATTCAAGGCACTTCATAACCATTTATGAAGTTCTACCATTAAGAGAAATGAGAAGATACCACCTTTGTTATAAGATGGRAAAAACCACAGCAAAGGAGTGCACGAGGCATTTAGATGCCTGGTACATTCCCAGTTTCCCTGTACTCATTAGTGGATCTGCAGCCTATCTTCTCCCAACACACAATGAAGATTGCGACCTCTTCAGACGCCGTTTAAAACCAGTAAAAATAGAAAAATACTCACCAAATAAACTTAATAACAGCCACACGACATAATTTTCCTTCAGAAAACACAATGAACACATTCACATGCATTTTCTTCTGTACCATCAGAATCTGACAGCCTTGAAGACTTTMCTGCCAAAAGGTTACAGTTTTCACTGGGCTGTGGAGTGTGTTTCCATAATGCAGAGCAATTTGAAATATGAAGTTTGAAAGGAAACAGCAGAATAGTTTCTGGAAAGGCAGCATTGTCAGTGACCATGCAGTGCACCAAGAGCTGCAG